AAAATTTAAAAATAAATTAAAAATAATTATTTAATATAAAAATATAATAAATTAGAACAATTTAATTTAATAAACACAATGTTTAAAATAAAACTAATTTTAAAAATAAGTTTATTTTAAAAAATAATATATATTACATAAATTTAATCATTTCTTTACAAATTTAATTCTGCATATAATATCATTAATTTTTTTAATTTAGATTTTATTGAAACGTTTTTTGACTTATTCTATCATTTTTTAATATATATATAAGTGAACCATATAAAACCAGTTTTAAAGCGAGATGGATACAGAACAATACAGAATGGATACAGAATAAAACTTTTTAAATCAATGGCTTTTAAAAAAAAAAATAAATAAATTGAATTATAATAATTTCTTTTTTTATTTTTACAAGATATATGTAAATAAATAAATAATGTAATTTATTAAAAAAACTTTCAAGACTGAATGTATAATTTAATTTTTTTATTTTCATTAAAAATAGATTATAAATACTTATATTTAAAATACCATTTTGAAATATGCATTTGGATATTGCATATTAACACATTTATTTCGTTTACCTTTAAAGATGATAGATTAAATTACTTCTTCACCTTCACAGAAGTCACTTGATACCACAAAGCATCAGTCATGACATTAAGAAATAAGAATAAATAAGAACAGAATATCAAACACTATATTCATATAAATATTTGCATATTCATTATCAATATTACGACATATCAATAAAAAGATAAATGATATTTTTAAATGATAAATGATAAATGATGAAAAAACATCTTAATTTTTTCATATTTTTTGATTCTTAATAGTATGCTAAAATACACAAAGCAACATAGAAGACAAATAAAAAATTTATATTATTTTTTTAAATATAATTTTTATAGAAATACAATTTTTAAAATATGTAGATTTACCTTTCAGATGTACAAGGAATTTCTTCCGCATAAACATCAGCACGTGTGGTTATCGTTCCGTTTCTCATCGTACCGTGGTTGTCGCATAACAAAAAAGGAAGTAGTGTTGATCCTGAAATTTAGTTGTCGTTGACGTTTCGATTATTTCTGATCACATTTCGCGTGAAGTCATCTTCTTACTTTGTCTTATTAGATCATGCATATTGTTTGGCGCTATATGTTCAAGGTTTTTCTCATGCAATCATTATTTTTTTATTTTACGATTTTTTAATTATCATGTCATTTTTAAAAATCTTTTCACTTTAATTAATCTTTTATATTATATATTTTATATTAATCTCAAAATATTGTTATAAATGTCATATTATTTTATTAAGTATTAAATATAACGATATTAAAGATTTTTTTATATAGAATAAGCATATATAGATATATGTAATATATTATTTTATCACATAAATCATTTTAAAGCAAAAACTTTTTAACATTTAAAAAAAAAAAAAAAAGAATTTTATTATTGTGAAGATTACAATTAAAATATATTTTGCTTGCACTGTAAATATTAATACACTATAATAATGCACAATAACTTAACCTCTCCCATCACTTCAGTGGCTCAAGAGCGACTAATAGTAATAAATATTCTGCTCTGCTGTGGAAATATGAACTACTGCCATTGGTAGAGACGAATAAAAATGAAATGAATTTAAATATTCTTAAGAAACATTTTAATATTAATAAATAAAGAGATATTAATAAACAATATGTTTTTTTTACTTTAAGAAATAAATTTAATATTAAAAATAAAAAATTAAATTTATTAGAAATTTGAAATTAAATATTAAAAATTATAATAAAAAGAAAAAAATTACAGTTTTATAATTTATCATATAAATTTTAATTTTGAAAATTTATTAATTTTCCAAATTAATAAAATAATAACTTAAAATTTTAAATTAGTATAAATATGTAACAGTTGTATTTATATTGTATTAATTTTAAATATTAAAAGACTAATAATTACAATTTAATGATAAGTTTTTCATTATTTAAAACTTTAATATTGTTTACAAAATTACAAAAATTATTATTAAAATAGATATTAATTGCGCATGCGTGGAAAATTTTATAATGGTATCATTCTTTCTTATAATTGCGTCGTTTGTGGCATAGAAAACGCTTTCATTTACGGCTTTTGATTGGAGTTAAATTTTACAACTTACTATTTTTTTATGTTTGAGTAATTATTATTAATAGTAGAGCGTCATTAAAAGAAGGGAGAAAGTAAGAAAAAATTGAATATGGGTCGCTATAGAAGGTAAGCCATATATGTATAGATATGTGAAAATGCATGTTATCAATATGTTCAATGTTCAGCACTAATATCACATATTTGAAGTGAATATATTTGAATAGCAACTGTTCATGCAGTACAGTAGAAAAAATTATATGTAAAATGAGAAATAAGACTATAAAACTAAGAAGAGATTTTAAAGCATTTATATTTTTACAGCCATTATAACCTTCCGCATGTTTTTGATATAGCTTCAAAAAAATTTATATATATATATATATATATATATATATACATATAAAATTTAAAATAATTTGAATTTTTAAAATTAATGATAAAATAAAAATGTTACATATTTTAAATAAATTAATTAAATAAAATTGCTATAGATTTAATATATTTTAAAAAAGTATAATAAAGTATAAATATAAATATTTTAAAAAATATATATTATGTTAGAAATAGTTAATAAAAATATTTGTATTTTTATTTTTATAAATCAACATGAATTTTTTATTTAAAAAATAACTTATATTTTAAATTTATATTTAAATATTAATAAATATTTTGTATTTTATTTTTTAGTCGTAGTCGTGATAGAGATAGGAGACGTAGATCTCGTAGCAGATCTCGTAGTAGATCACCAAGAGATAGAAGAAATTGGGGTAGCAGTGGAGGCAGAGATCGAGGTGGTGGTAGAAATAGCCGTGGGCAACCTGGAGCAAATTTAAGAAAACCTAGATGGGATTTAAGTCGATTAGAACCTTTTAAAAAAGATTTTTATGTACCACATGAAGCAGTTCAAAACCGTGATCCACGCATAGTTGAACAATACAGAAGTGAAAAAGAAATTACCCTTAAGGGAAAAAATATACCTAATCCTGTATTTACATTTGAAGAAACAGGTTTTCCAGACTATGTTCTGAAAGAAATTAAGTAAGTTCTTTTAAGATAATAAATTTGTTTAAAATTAAAATGTTCCAAATGAATTAGTATTTACAATGTACAATTATTTTACAATAGTGATATTAGAATTTGTTTCTTAAGTTTAGAACAAGTATCCAGTATGCGATGACATATACATTGTCAAGAATACTATCACACAGAACTTAAAACTTGTTTATTCTGGAACTTTTAACTTTCATCAGATCAAGTAAGAACAGAAGTAGAGTTGTTAGGATTTTAAGATAAAAACAGAATAGCAAAACATTAAAATTGATAAAAAAATGATTAAAATAAATATTGAAAAATTTGACTTAAACATTAATGCAAAATGAGATCAATTTGATTTAATAGATTATAAAAGAATTGTTGTTATTTATAATTTTCAGACGACAAGGTTTTACAGAACCTACATCAATACAAGCACAGGGTTGGCCAATTGCTTTAAGTGGAAGAGATATGGTAGGAATTGCATCAACTGGTTCTGGAAAAACACTGTCTTATATACTTCCTGCAATTGTTCATATTAATAGTCAACCTAAATTAGGTCGAAAAGATGGACCTATTGCTTTAGTTTTAGCTCCAACACGAGAGCTTGCACAACAAATTCAGCAAGTTGCTGATGATTTTGGTCATTCCTCTGGCATTAGAAATACATGTTTATATGGTGGAGCACCAAAAGGTGCACAAGCTAGAGATTTAGATGGTGGTGTAGAGATTGTTATAGCTACACCTGGTAGACTGTTAGATTTTCTTGAATCAGGACGTACAAATTTAAAAAGATGTACCTATTTAGTATTAGATGAAGCAGATAGAATGTTAGATATGGGATTTGAGCCTCAAATTAGAAAAATCATAGAACAAATTAGGCCAGATAGACAGACATTAATGTGGTCTGCTACATGGCCTAAAGAAGTAAAAAATTTAGCTGAAGATTTTCTAAAAGATTATGCTCAAATCAATGTTGGATCTCTACAATTAGCTGCAAATCATAATATATTACAAATCATTGATGTATGTCAAGACTATGAAAAAGAAAATAAGTAAGAGATTAAGTATATATTTAAAAAACTATTTATTTATCAAAAAATTATATATTTTTTATTTCTAATATTATTTTTATAGATTGAGTACTCTTTTAAAAGAAATAATGGCAGAAAGTGAAAATAAAACTATTGTATTTATTGAAACAAAGCGCAGAGTAGATGAAATCACAAGAAAAATGAAGAGGGATGGCTGGCCAGCTGTTTGTATACATGGTGATAAGACACAACAAGAAAGAGATTGGGTTTTACAAGGTAAATATTAATTTTATATCACATTTTAATTTATATTACAATCAAAACTGAGTTTTCTTTTCAATTTTTAGATTTTAGATCGGGAAAAGCGCCAATTCTTGTCGCAACAGATGTTGCTGCTCGTGGACTTGGTAAGTAAATGATTGTTATGATAATGTAATAAAATAGAAATAAGAGTATTATTCATCATTTTCCTTTGGTATGGAAAATGAACTATTTTAAATCATATTTCTAGCAGTGAGTTTAATAATTACTATAATATTCTGAATATCTTGTTCTGATAATATTAAAAACATAAATAAATATATATATATTCAAAATATAATATACTTGCTAATTATTAGTATATATCTTTTAAATAGATTTTCTTTTGTTATTGCAATTTGTTTCCTAGAAATGAAATAGTTTTATATTAAGACATACGTGATTCTTATATATGTAATAATCAGAACAAGATTTCATTAATGAACTACTTTATGATTAGAATCAAAATAAAAGAGATTTATCAATTTCTTAATTAGAAACAGTAATCAATATTAATAAATTATATAAATATAAATAAATATTTAAATGATATTTTTCGAGTTCAGTAATTTGGAAATATTAATAAGAAAATACTTAATAAAAACTTTACAAATTAAATTTAAATACATAATATTCTAAATGCATAATGTGGTTCATTTAGCATTTTTAATATGTGTAGTTATTTTGCTTCCTCATTTTTTGCTAAAGGTAATAATTTTTGAATATTATATGAAAGAAATAAAAAAAGAAAGAAATATATTACTCGGCAAGCATTTTTTATTGATTTATGAAGGTGAATAAAAATAATTTACCTAATTAAAAAAAAAAGTAAATGAATTTTAATTACAAACAAACATTTATAAAATTTATATTGAAAATATATAAGATATAATTTTCTTAAAGAATTATATAATTTTATGGGATAATGAAAGGCATCATTTTATATTATTGTATCTACATCATAATTATAATTTGAACTTAAAATTAATCTAATAAAAATGTTTTATGCTTGCCAAAACTTATATAATGATTATAGAAGTTTAAATTATATTTTTTCCCATAAACTCGCTTTCATTGAGATTACCAGAATTTTGTAGAAGATAGTTGATAAAAGAATAAAACAATATGAAAAAAAAAAAAAAAAAAAACAAAAAAAAAAATACTGTAATACAAAATTCATATTGAACACAGGAAAATAATGAGATAAACATATACCTAACGCGGTTGGATCTTTGTTTGTATTGCAGAGGCACATTGCGCGCAGACCCACGCCGGGTAATGCAAAGCAAATTGGGGGTGCCCGCCGCCTGTTTGTTCGGTGGTGCACTAGTTTGCATTGTCTGCGCTGGCTGCGACGCGTGCCTCTATACGTCAATTACGTGAAGGGCCAGTCCGGGCCAAATCGGGATCTACTTTACCTTCTACATACTGGATATCAGTTCTACGCTACGCTGTACGCCATCTGGGCTGGCCAAGTCGTTGTTGCCAGAATAGAATCCCCTGCGCTGGCCGCTCAAGCTAATCAGACCCAACAACGGTCCAATGAGGCGGTGGCATGGTAGCTGATGCCAGAGCCTCTAAGTGTGCCCTGTAGCAACAGAATGGCGGAGGCTGTAGCTGGAGCGAGCGCAAACAGCCAGGCCCTGCCCGTACGTTGCTAGCGACACTCACCCACTGCCTAATTTTAGTATAACAGTAATTTTAAATTAATCGCTATATATATATATATAACTGTATATATCAATAATTACAGTTTCTATATATAATAATTCAGTCAATAATTATACTTTCACCCAGAAAAAGAGCAATTTGACTGTATAGCATTTTTCTTTGATAAAGACTAAGATAGTTTTTGATTAAAGAAATTTCATTCGATAGTGAAATATTGTACAATTATTAATTTAGAAGATGTAATTAAATATTGATCATAATTATAATAATCATAAATCAAAAATTAATTATATTTATTTATTATATATTTATTATATTTGATTTATTTATATTTAAAAATTTCTCACAAAAATTTCAATTAAATTTAAATATCTTCTTTATTAAGAATTGGTCAACATTTCATTTGATCAAAAATGTCTTAGATTTTTATAAAGATGTAGTATAGCTCAAATAGCATTTTTCTAAGGGTTTCAATATGTATACTTTTTTGCATATATATATATATAACAAAATGTTTTGTAAGATGTGATATACTAAAACATATGAGAAATTCTTGAATTAAAACAAGTTATTCCTTATATTTTTTGTGATCATTATTTATCAGCTTTGTAAAATATAATAATATTCTCAAAAATAATTTTATATTTCAAATTATCTTTTATATATATATTATATATAAATTTAAAAGTTGTTAATTAATGGTCACATAATATTATTAAGAACTCTCTTATTCTTAATTTAAGAATTTTTAATATTTTATATAGCGCATATTTTATAAAACATTCTGTACTTGTATATATGCATATATGTACATTTCTATATACATACACATTCTTCTATATACATATCCATTTAAATTTACATTTCCTTTATCCTTATAAATCCTTCATTAATAACTGTCATTACATATTCACATTATATTAACTATTACATTCAATAAAGTTTTTTGTATATCAATTCTGGTTTCATTTTGATATTTTGATATTTTGATATCATTTTGATTTTTTTTTTTTAAGGATATAAATGCATAATATTTATTGTGATAAAAATCAATAAATAATTTCATATATATTTAAATAATGTATATATAAAATAATTAAAATTTTAATAATTTTTCTAAAAAATATATAAAATACTTAAAACAAAAATACTATAAAATATATAAAATATTAAAAAAAAATTAAAAATAAAAATATACAGAAAAAGAAATAATATTTTTATGAATGAGGAACCAGAATTGTTTTTGAACAGAAATTTATTTCAGCATTTTATACTTTCAAAACGCTCTCTAAAAACATAATATTTTTTTTATTACTTTAGTTTTTATTTTATTTTATTATTTAAATAAAATTAGAAATAGATAATTTATTCTTAAAAGAATATAATAAATAAAATACTTTGTAAGATTTAGGTTCGATGTAGATAAGCTATACAATGTAGTTAGTTGCAATTTCTCAGTAGTAACGCTGTATATTCGGCACATTTATTTGTATTTTCAATATTGTACATTCGTATTATGTTATTAGAAATATAAAATGTCGAATCAGACAGCATTACTACAGTGAAATCGCAACAATATCATATTGCTCGTCTATATCAGCTCTTAATGTGTTTTTTTTTTTTTTTTAATTTCATTTTTTAAAACATATATAATCAATGAATTTATAATTATCTTTGGAGAGCGTACTTCAATCTAAAAATTTGTTCAAAATAAATGATTGATATTTAATACAATATTTTATTCGTCTTGCCATAATACTATCTTAACCGATGTCTGTCTGGGAGGCGGATGCTTTTAGTGACCAGTATCTAATACGTATGCTTTATTTCAGACGTTGAAGACGTCAAGTTTGTCATCAATTTTGACTATCCTTCCTGTTCGGAAGATTACGTTCATCGAATCGGTCGAACAGGACGTCGGCAAAAAACTGGTACAGCCTATACCTTTTTTACACCTAATAATTCGAATAAGGCTAACGACCTAATCCAGGTATTAAAAGAAGCGAATCAAGTTATAAATCCAAAGCTATTAGAACTTGCCGATAGTAAAAGTGGTGGATATGGCAGGCATAGAGGTATTTGTATACTTTAACTTGATAAAATAATTTTTTTTTTAACTTTTATCTCATATTATTGCAATTTGCATTTATTGATATAATTAATTGATTTAATATTCTTAGGTGGAAGAAATAGATGGCGATCTCGAGGTGGTCGAAATGGAAAAGATCGTAGCTATTCAAGAAGTAGAAGTCGAAGTCATAGTAGAGAATACAATGGTCGTGGTAATCGTCGAAGTTATAGTCGGAGCTATTCCCGGAGTCGTAGTCCTGTTAGTAATCGTGCAGGTAAGTAATAATAAGTTCATATTATATTATTTACATTTTCATGATTCTACTGAAACAGATTTGCAAATTTTGTATTGTGTAAAAAGATTTGTATGTTTACAGAAGTAATCGGTAAAAGCTATTGGAGCAGCGAAAGATGATCTTCCATGAGCAGTTAATGACCAATTGCATATAATTAATGTTTTTTTTTTTACGTCTCTTTTAAAGAACACACTTAATACACGTCATATAAATTGTAATATTGATATTCCATTAATGTAAACATGTCATATGACGTGTTACGTATAATCTTTGTGCATTACAGATAGATTATATTAGAAATATAATATAAGATGTTTCTAATGAGCGAGTATACTTTCTTAAAATATAATAGAATGATATGATCAACTGATAACACGTATTAGAATATATTGATTTTAAATAAAGTGAAAAATTATTTAACCAAATTATTGAAATCAAAAACTCTGAATAAAATCAAGAATATAATTTGATATTGTATGAATATTTATATATATATATTTCTGTATCCATAGATTTTTTTTTTAATTCACATTTTAATTATATAAGATAAATTTATATAAGAATTTGGAATTATTATATTCACATATAGTATAATATATACGTTTTTTATAAATAGCCGTTGCATATTTGATAATACAAAATAAGGAGCATGTAAACGGCAATGTGACTTTAATTGATGAATGACAACAAATTACTTAAAAAGTCTAGATTAAAAAAAAAAATATCGTATTTACTGATGAATAATTATAGGTACATACATAGTGCTTATTAGCAATTAATTCATATATGTACTTGAGCATTTAAATTCGAAAAAATAATGTACAGTATTTAACAAAAATGTAATAAATAAATTTATTAATTAATTTAAAAAATTATTTACTAATTATCTCCTGTCTTCTCTTTTTTCTATATTTATTATATATTTTTGTTTCTTATTTTTTCAGACAAAAAGATACAAAAATCACATAAAATATCATACTAATTGAATCTTTAAATTCTATTCTTATTTTATGTATAAATTTATAAATCTTAAGTGTTCTTTCTACTCAATTAATGTTAACAAATGTTTATTGAAGAATTTCTTCATCATCTCAACAGTGAAATGATTGGATTTTAAATGAGAAGTTTGTCTATAAGACCATTAGGAAAAAATATTCACATTTTTTTTTTTATTAAATAAATTTATAAAAAAAAAAATCACTTTCACCATTTAGATAATAGAATAAAACTGCACAATATTAAAATGAAAGTTATTTATTATTAGCACAAAAATAATATATAACACATTATTTTAAAAAAACTTCATACACATGTATCTTCATATAATTATTAATATTTACGAACTCTATAAATCAAATTGATGTACGAATGTCAAATTTATTCAATAATTTTTTAAATAAATAATCGAGAAAAAAATCAGACCGCAATCTTGAGTGAAAAGCAGCAAAGATTTATGAATGAACTGTAATACAGGTGGATGGGTCGATAGAGCAGCCCCCCGCAAGATCGCACTAGGCAAGGGCGTAGTAATCGATAGAGTGAGGGTGAAAAAGGATAGAAGCCGGCTCGAAGCAGACGAAGAACAGCGGAGACCGTGGAGGGCAGAGTCCATTCAGTAGAAGCAGCAAGGCTGCTATTGATTGCGTGGGTGGTTAGAGGAGAGATGAGTTACCCCCACTTTCAGCCATTCAGCAGCCGCACTGCTGTGACACGGGGTTAGCGGAGGAGAAGGGGCCTTGAAAGATGGGGAGAGGTAAAACGAAGAAGGGTAGTCCGATTACTGGAATGCCGTGGGTGGCTAACAAGAGAGGGGGTTCCAACCCTGTCTTCGATTATACGCACGAATGCAGGCGCACAACCACTTTGCCCTAAAATTGACATTTAGCCCCATGCTTTTTGAAAAGTTCACACTTTATGTATTTTACGTAAATTTCGTAAATTATATAAATTTTTATACTCGAAATTCGATTATTAATTCGATTACTATTCTGAACGAGTAAGGAATTACATTGAGAAAAATATAAGAAATATTTGCAAAGTTTAAAATTAGCTGTTTTGAAACATCTTTAAAAGCTTAAAGTTTAATATTCTCATAAAATTATATAAAGTTTATTAATTTAAACGTTTGATACTTATATCGACGAAAATTGTCAACAGAAGAGGCATTGTTTATGTTGATTATTCCATCCACATAAGATCTATCTGTTTTGAGACAATAATAATTCTTTATCAAAATACGAAAAAATGAACGATGTTGATAGCGAAATATCCTCCAGTTTCTTTTATTTCGTATCTTGACTTTATATCTTGTCTAACTATGAACAATATATTCATAACAATATAATAAATAGCGAAATATTTGTTTTAGTAAATCATATACTTATTCAGTAACTTATCTTAGTTATTTGAAGCATCAAGTAGTTTAGACTTATAATAGTCAGCCAAAGATTTCCACGTGAATAATTCATTTTATTAATTAATTTAAAAAAAAATAAACGAATACTTTGAAAATAACTAAAACATTTTTTATATAAATTTAGATATATTTAAATTAGATAAATTATTTAAGATTTTATTGTTAAAATTAAGATATCAATTTATGTATAAATTTATAATACACTTATTTTATTAAAAATTAAGAAAAGAATATTGATATTGATTTATTTTGTCAAATAAAAGATCAAAAAATGTTTGATGATGAATTTTTCAATAAATTGAATAATTCAGTGATGCAATTTCTCATTTAGGTTGAGAATACGGACTACAACGATTTTAAGTCCCAGGGAGAAACTTGTTGCGCAGACGAACCGGAACTTATAAGCTTATTCGTAATCTATGACTCTAGCTTTAAAACAGCTTTAATATTTAAAAATTTTCAAATTAAAAATGATTGAATGAATTCTTTTTTAATTGTTTTATTACTTTATTATAGTAAATCTAAATCTATCTTAGTTAAGATATTTAGTATAGAATATTATAATAATTATATATATTAAGAAATTTCAATACATTAATAAAATTAAAAGAATATAGTTTAATGTAATGAAATTATTTTATTTTTATATCGAACAATAAATTCATATTATTCGATAGATAATTAATAAAGTCATTTGTATAGTATATAAGTAAAATAGTTAAAAAGGGATGAAAAAGAAAAAGAATAAAAATAAAAAATCTATTATACAAAAATAATTTCCAAAAGATCAAAAATAATTAAAAATATATCATCTTCATATAATATAATAATATAATTATATAATAATTTTAAATTATCAATTTTATTATATCCATTAGACAAAATATCGAGAGAATAATTTCCAAAAATTATCATTTGTATACACACAAAAAAGAATGCTAAAGAAAAAATAAAAAAATAAAGAGTTATTAAAGAAATTTTTAGAAACGAAATTTTTTGAAACAGTTTACGAATTGACGAAAAGTTTTTTTTGGAATATGAAGAAAAAAGTAGAGAAAAGGAAAAAAGAAAAGAGAGAGGGGGCTAAACAGAGCTCGCGTAGAGGGGCTTGAAACGAATGAAGGGGTGTGTACTGGAAGAGGGGGCAGCAAAGGAAGGCGAATAGTTGCCTCGAT